ACAGCTACAGTACGTAGTCCGACTTATCACTAGATGTGTCGGATTCTGGCAAGAAGCCAGACTGTCGGGCAGTTACCTGAACGTAATTAACACCTGGTTTGATATCACCTGTGTAAATCAATGTGTAGCTGATTGAAATTTTACCTGTATGCAGATTTAATTAAAAGTGATGATACATGTAAAATGTATTGTTGTTTTTTTTTTTAAATCGTAATTTGTCCACCTGATCGTAAAATTACATTTTAAAGCAATGTAGTTTTTTCTTTATATAAAATAATTGATAAATTCGAAATGAAAACATTTCAAGTAGTTTATTTCAGATTTTTATATCATGTAAATGATGTATATGACCGCAAAAAATTTTTGTGGTTGTATATTGGTATCACGTTGTCGTCCTCGTTGTCGTCGTAGTCCGAAGACAGTTGGTTTCCGGTCAATAACTTTAGTATAAGTAAATAGATGTCTATGAAATTTATACACAAGGTTTATAACCACAAAAGGAAGATTGGGATTGATTTTGGGGATTATGGTCCCAACAGTTTAGGAATTAGGGGCAAAAAAGGGGGCCCAAATAAGCATTTTTGTAGTTTCCAGACAATAACTTGTGTTTAAGTGTATGAATCTCTCTGAAATTAGACCTCAAGTTTCCATACTACAAAGGGATGGTTAGGATTGACTTTGGGGGGTTATGGCTCAAACCATTTAGGAATTAGGGGCAAAAAAAGGGGAAAAACAAGGGTTTCCTGGTTAATGGACAATTTTAAAGCAGTGTAAGGTAGGTAATCCCATAGGGTCAATACGCAACAGCATAGTGTATTGCACAAAAGCATAAATTGAATATAAATTCAAATCATATTACCAATTCTAAGTTCTTTGACTACTGTTATTCTGTGTCAGAAACCTATTTTGTGTCAGATATTTAATTACAATCCCAATTCAGACTTGTATCAAGCCCGAATATTGTGTCCATTTTTGCCCCATCTGTTCAGGGTTGGGCCTCTGCGGTCGTATCCAGCTGCGCTCAGCGAAGCAAATATACTTTATTATTCATTTTCCCGTAGTTCATTCATTTATTCAACAATACCACGCTCCCTCTAGTGCCTCAACTCTTATTACCTGTCAGTCAATTTTCGCAAATCAAACAATTGACCCAGTATGAACAGTTCATTTCTGTTTACAGTTATTTATACATTTTCACATCTCTTAAAGCTTGTGCTACCGTGATGTCTTCTTAAAATCGAAGTCGGAAAGTTTTATTTTTTTTCATTTTGGTGACATGATGTAATCTCACTCATGTTTAAATAAATGTTCAATACCAATTATAAATATAACTTGTATATAGTTTTCGGACACAGCTATAAAAAAATATTTAACCTCGAGATATGATTTTTTTCTAATAAAAATGTCAGTTGTTTGTATTAATTGAAAATATTTTATCTTGACAAGACCTTTTAAAAAGCATACAAGTAAAACAAATCACAGATGGTTATACATGTAGTATAAAATCCATGAACAGATCAACTTAACTTTTATATGATCAAAAGTTTTTGCTGCAAATAATTCAAACTGGATTTTATTTAGATAATTACGACTGATTACAGACTTTATTACGTTATGATCACCTCATTTTAAACTTTTTTCTTATCAATTGAATCTTGAAATTACTACAAAGTAAATTGGTTTGTTTGAATTCCCATCATTATTTACAGTACAACCAACCCGTGTTTCATTAATTAATTTGTTTTATTGTTTGAGATTTATGATTTATGTGCTCATTTTGTTTCCGGTAATGTGATCAATTTAATTTCATTTGACAACTGATAATAGATGTTTAATTTAATCGAATATTAGACAGAAATAAATTAGGCTAGAATTAAGGAAGGTGTTCATGGTGTTATAAAAAAGTTTTTTTTTTTTCAAGTTAATATTTAGAAAAGAAATTAACACGACAGTCATAAACATTTTAAAAACAGTGTTTTGTTTTCGTTAAAAGATGAAAATTAAATGTTTGAAACAAATGAAGTGATGATTTTATTTTATTGAGAAAAAAAAATTATTTGTAATTTCTACTAGGAAATTGTTTTAAACTAACAAAGTAAATTAGCGTGAGGATGAGTGAGAGAAAATGGGCAAAGGTAATATGAAGTTGGAAGAAAGCTTAGTTTGATTTGTTAATGATGACAACAATTTTAGACTCTTTTCGTATAATATTTGTAGCCCTTAAAAGAGCTGTTTTAAATAGATGTTGACTATCAATCATCTTCATATCAGCTTCAAGCTGGTAACTTTTAGCTGGTACTCTGGCGTCTTCAATTCAGTATCAAAATAGTGGTGGGACTTTCCGCTTGATCTCTCTGGAAAAATCTTTTTGGGTAGATAGTATATAGTTTCTATATACCTTTGTTTTGAATAAGGGAGATGAGTTGCTACTTCCGATTTAAAAAAGGTCACTTCTGGTTGACATTTTCAAGGTCATATGTCTACCTACCTAATGCAAAAGACCCCATGGCTTTATCATGTATAAATATGAATCTATAGCAAATGTCAAAATATACAACGTCAAATTCACCTTTGACCTTGAACTAAATTTCAAAGTCTTAAAGCAAGGACCTCAAATCAAATGACCCTAAGTCTCCACTATATATTGGAAATGAGTTCTATCCCAATAAAGCTAATTTTAAGTATTAGAGGGGAGGAAACTCCCATCAAATTTGAACGCACCCTTTTGACCAGAATATATATGTTACGACATGTCGCAACTAACAGTTAGTAAAATATTTTGTTGATATCTTATACGGTTTCTGAAAAGAAGCAATAATAACCCAAAATCAAAATTTAGAACCAGACCTTGACCTTTGACCTTGACCTAATTTTCTTTTTGTTGGACCAAGTACCTCAATTCTAAAGACCCTATGTCTCTATAACTTATGGTTTACCAATTATAATTACATTTCACTTATTTTAAATACAGAAGGGGAAATAACTCTCATATGGAGTCTCCGGAACGCTTCGTTCAAAATTATTCTTAAGATCCTTAGGATATAACAAGGGAATTGATGAAATAATTTTGTCGTAATCTTTTACGGTCGCGAAGGAGATGCACACACAAAAAAAAACAGTGTTTGGGGAGATAACTCTTACATTAAAAAGTGTTCAGTTAAACAGGGTCAGTTTCAAAAGCGCAATAACTGTTCCATATCATATGCAAAAAATCAAAGCAACATCTTGCGAAACCACTATACACCACAAGAAAAAAATGTGGCGGAAGAAGGAAAAAATAAAGGTCTTTCCACATCAATTTTCTAAATAATTGATAAGAAGCTACTTCTGGTTTACTCAAAGTTACTTTTGGCGTCCAATCATAGTTTTCTCCATACTGATTCAACAAAAAATATGGATTCTATATACTTTTGCCTGAAATAAGGGAGATAATTGTCACTTCTGGTCTCATATGATAGCTCTATTTACACTGAGTCCAAAAATATATGGTTTATATATACTTTTGCCTGTAAAAAGGGAGATAATTGGCTACTTCAGGTTTAGAAAATGTCACTTCCTGTCTCGTATGATAGCTTTATCCACTCTGATTTAAAAATATATATAGTTTGTATTAGTTTGAATACTTATGCCTGTAATAAGGGAGATAATTTGCTACTTCCTTTTATAAAAGGTCACTTCTGGTCTCAAATGATAGGTTTATGTATACCCATTTGAAAAATATATGGTTTCTAGGTTCTTTCCATGAAATAAGTGCAAAAATTACTACTTCCGGTGCACTCAAGGTCACTTCCGGTTGACATTTTTCAAGGTCATATGTCACCCAACATTTTGCAAAAGACCTTATGGCTTTATCATGTACCAATCTGAAGTAAGAATCAATTTACCTTAAAATAAAACATTTCAGGGGAAATAACTCCTATAAGATGTCATTGGATTGTTTCAGACCAAATTTCTCATATCTTCATCACAATAAAGCACACATTTTGCACCAGTTCTTTTATATATAACTTTTAAAGTGTCAAGAGAAAATTCAAAAACAAGCAAAATAAAAAGACTAGGTTTATACGGATTACGGTTTATGAGTTACAAAATCATAACGACAAATTTATTTGGTAAAGGTAGATAACTCCTATAAGATTTCACTGGATCGCTTCGATCCAAATCAGCCAAAAATTCATGAGGATGTAACGAACAAATAGGAAAAAGAATTTTTGTCGTTATCTTTTTTGGTTACGGAGGAGATACACTCAGAAGAAAAAACAGTGTTTGGGGAGATAACTCTTACAATAAAAAAGTATTCTGTTAAACAAGATGAGTTTTAAAAGCGCAATACCTCTTCGATATAATATCCAAAACATCTTGTGAAACAACTTTATACCGCAAGAAAAGGGTTTGGCGGAAGAAGAAAAAAAAAAAAAAAATAATAATCAGAACAAATACAATAGGTCTTTCCACAGAAAAGTGGAAAGACCTAATAATAATCAGAACAAATACAATAGGTCTTTCTACAGAAAAGTGGAAAGACCTAATAATAATAATAATAATCAGAACAAAAGCAAAAGGTCTTTCCATGGAAAAGTGGAAAGACCTAAATATACTGTTCCCTTTATAATTCATTCCATTTATTTTGTTTCAAAAATATTGTCCCTTGTAGGAAGAAAATTCGCCTTGGAAAAATCAAATTATAGAAAATTATTGGTAATCAACATGATCAATGTTTTATTTTGTGAGCTTGTCTTGATTTATGTATAACATATCACAAAATGACATAAATGACAATATAAATTGTTAATGTATCTGTCCCTGAAGCTGGTATGGTTATGGCAATGTTATACATGTTTTTTTTTTCTTTAAAAGAAAGGTTAGTTTTTAATGTAAATTGATATCTTTTAATGTAAGGCATGTATTAGGTGTAAGCTGGTATGGTTGTGGCAAATAAATGTTTTAAATTTGTTAAAGAACAGTTAGTTTTTAATGTAAATTTCTATCGTTTGTATTAGATTCAAGTTGGTATGGTTGTAGCAGATGCAGATAGTCCTGGCCCAGTCAGGAAAAGAGCCAAGTTATCATTGAAATTTCTTAAAAGAGGTTCAACTGATTCATCAACCAATACCCCAACATCAGTCAGTGAGAAGAAAGAGCCTTTGATTGCTAGGTATAAACATGATAAATGCAATTATTTTCTTATCCTTTCCCAACTAAAAAAACATTCTTCAGAAAAGGTAAGTTTTCACACAAAATTATACGAGTATTTGATTTGTTGATATGCAACATTGATAGCCATTCTTTTGAAAGATGTATAATGAATAAAATCAAACTCAATTCTGAGTGATATATATATATAGAAGAAAAGCTTAAGCTGTTTTATACAAACCATTTATTGGCATGATTGTTTTTAACACACATTTTGTTTTGGGTTTCTTTCTCTTTAAAAATATATCAAAAGATTAATGTTTCAAATGAAATAAGCATTATACATTATTTCTGTCAATATTGTTGCTTACATTTGCACTCTTTTTGCATTTTCCAAGATATATTCCAAATGGTGGAAAGGGATCTTCCACAAAAAATGTAGCTACAGTCATGACAGTTTGGAACGCAAATTTTATGGAATTGGTTTTAGAGTATTCACTTTAATATAAACCACAACGTCAAACCCATTCTTTTAATTAATTAAATTTAAAATTTACAATAAAAGCCATATTGTATGAAAAAATAAGAAAAAAATGACAGATGAGGAACAACTGCAAAATAATTAGCTAAACTAACACATTTTTTGCATATTATATTGTTGTTTAGTAAGGGCTGAGATGAAACAGCAATAAATTCTGTAAGAATAACCTTTTCTACTTATTATTTTTTAATACCCCCGCCGAAACGGAGGGGGCATTAAGTTTTACCCTTGTCCGTCCATACGTACGTCAAAAATTGGTTTCTGTTCTCTAACTTAAGTTTGCCTCAACCAAATGTTATCAAACTTATAGACAATGTTTATTACCACAAAACACAGATCAAATTTGAATTTTAGTGGCACCACTTTTACTGTTCTAGAGTTATGCCCCTTTACAAATTGAAACAAAAATATCAATGTCATTATTCAAGTAATTTTTATACGACCGCAAAAAATTTTTGCGGCCGTATATTGGTATGACGTTGTCGTCGTCGGTGTCCGAAGACACATTGGTTTTCGCACTCTAACTTTAGTTGAAGTGAATGGATCTCTTTGAAATTTTACCATAAGGTTCAATACCACAAAAGTAAGGTGGGGATTGATTTTTGGGGTTATGGTACCAACAGTTAAGGAATTAGGGGCCAAAAAGGGGCCAAAAATAAGCATTTCTAGTTTCCAGACAATAACTGTGGAACGGTGTATGGATCTCTCTGAAATTATACTACAAGTTTCCATACCTTAAAGGGATGGTTAGGATTTGCTTTGGGGGGTTATGGCTTAAACCGTTTAGGAATTAGGGGCAAAAAAGGGGGAAAAACAAGGTTGTCCTGGTTAATGGACAAATACTTTAGTACAAAACATAATTTAAAGCAGTGTAAGGGAGATAAATCAAATACATCATTGAAATTATCTCCCTTACACTGCTTTTAAATTATGTATAAAGTAATGGTTAATGAACAATAAAGATAATTTAAAACAGTGTAAGGGAGGTAATCCAAATACAACGTTCTGGTTACTTCCCTTACACTGCTTTTAAAGTATGTTTAAAGAAATGCATATTTATAAAGGAAGACCAGTAAAAATATCTGCAAATGTTGCATCTTTTTTTTGTCGAGCCTTCGACTTTAGTCGAAAAAGCGAGACATAGCGATCCTACATTCCGTCGTCGGCGTCGGCGGCGTCCACAAATATTCACTCTGTGGTTAAAGTTTTTGAAATTTTAATAACTTTCTTAAACTAACCTGGGTTTCTACCAAACTTGGACAGAAGCTTGTTTATGATCATAAGATAGTATCCAGAAGTAAATTTTGTAAAAAAAAAAATCCATTTTTTCCATATTTTACTTATAAATGGACTTAGTTTTTCTGCCAGGAAATATTACATTCACTCTGTGGTTAAAGTTTTTAAAATTTTAATAACTTTCTTAAACTAACCTGGGTTTCTACCAAACTTGGACAGAAGCTTGTTTATGATCATAAGATAGTATCCAGAAGTAAATTTTGTAAAAAAAAAAATCCATTTTTTCCTTATTTTACTTTTAAATGGACTTAGATTTTCTGCCAGGAAACAACACATTCACTCTGTGGTTAAAGTTTTTAAAATTTTAATAACTTTCTTATACTATTTTGGATTTGTACCAAACTTGGAGAGAAGCTTGTTTATGATCAAATGCTAGTATCTAGAAGGAAATTTTGTTTTCTTCCAGTTAACATTACATTCAGTCTGCAGTTAAAGTTTTTTAACATTTATTAGATTCATAAACTATCCTGGATTTTTACCAAACTTGGACAGAAGCTTCTTACAATCAAAACATCGTATCAACAGGAATATTTTTATTGATTTACTTCCTCATTTTTGTTGAGCCTGCCATTAACAGAAAAAGTAGGCGAGACACTGGGTTCCGCGGAACCCTTACGAATTTTTTACAAAAAAATCCATATGAAAGATTTGACACTATATTTTAAATTCTATTATAAAATAGATTAAGTTAGCACTATGGTAAATTTAAATGGGTAATTATGGTTGCAAACTCCATTGGAAATTTGATTGAGATTATGACCATATCTTGAGGGAAAGAATTTTTTGGGGGAAAAAAGGGGGGGGGGGGGGTAAAAAGAAATTGTGGGGGGTCATTTTTTTCTCATTTCAGATGTCAGAAATTAAAAAGAATTATTCTTCAAATATTATTTTTTTTTCAAATTTCAAATATTGAAAAATTTCAAGAAGTAATCTTTAATTGCACAGTATGGCGCATTAGATTTGTAAAATCTTTGACCACATTTATTTATTTGTTATGCCGAATCTAACCTATATTTAGATTTTTAATTTTGGGTCCAGTTTTCAAATTGGTCTACATTAAGGTCCAAAGGGTCCAAAATTAAACTTTGTTTGATTTTAACAAAAATTGAATTCTTGGGGTTCTTTGATATGCTGAATCTAAACATGTGTTTAGATTTTTGATTATGGGCCCAGTCTTCAAGTTGGTCCAAGTTGTGGTCAAAAATTAAACTTTGTTTGATTTCAACAAAAATTGAATATATGGGGTTCTTTGATATGCTGAATCTAAACATGTATTTAGATTTTAGATTTTTGGCCCAGTTTTCAAGTTGGTCCAAATTGGGGTCCAAAATTAAACTTTGTTTGATTTCAACAAAAATTGAACATATGGGGTTCTTTGATATGCTGAATCTAACCATGTATTTAGATTTTTTATTTGTGGGCCCGCTATCAAATTGGTTCATATTGAGGTCAAAAGGGTCCAAAATTAAACTTTGTTTGATTTCATCAAAAATTGAATTATTGGGGTTCTTTGATATGCCAAATCTAACCGTGTATTTAGATTTTTAATTTTGGGTCCCGTTTTTTAAATTGGTCTACATTAAGGTCCAAAGGGTCCAAAATTAAACTTAGTTTGATTTTAACAAAAATTGAATTCTTGGGGTTCTTCGATATGCTGAATCTAAACATGTGTTTAAATTTTTGATTATGGGCCCAGTTTTGAAGTTGGTCCAAGTTGGGGTCCAAAATTAAACTTTTTTTGATTTCAACAAAAATTGAATATATGGGGTTCTTTGATATGCTGAATCTAACCATGTGTTTAGATTTTATTTTTTATTTGTGGGCCCCGCTATCAAATTGGTTCATATTGAGGTCAAAAGGGTCCAAATTTAACTTTGTTTGATTTCATCAAAAATTGAATTATTGGGGTTCTTTGATATGCCAAATCTAACCGTGTATTTAAATTTTTAATTTTGGTTCCCGTTTTTTAAATTGGTCTACATTAAGGTCCAAAGGGTCCAAAATAAAAGTTAGGTTGATTTTAACAAAAATTGAATTCTTGGGGTTCTTTGATATGCTGAATCTAAACATGTGTTTAGATTTTTGATTATGAGCCCAGTTTTCAAGTTTGTCCAAGTTGGGGTCCAAAATTAAACTTTGTTTGATTTATACAAAAATTGAATATATGGGGTTCTTTGATATGCTGAATCTAACCATGTATTTTGATTTTGGACATTGGACCATAATAGGTAAATTAAAAAAATTCAAATTCTTAGACCACATTCTTTCTGTGTCAGAAACCTATGCTGTGTCAAATATTTAATCACAATCTAAATTCAGAGCTGTATCAGGCTTGAATGTTGTGTCCATACTTGCCCCAACTGTTCAGGGTTCGACCTCTGCGGTCGTATCAAGCTGCGCCCAGCGAAGCTTTTTATTAAAATTAGAGTTATCTTCCTTTTTCCATGATTATAGTTAAATCAACTACAATCAATGCTTTATACAATGCAATGTTTAATTTTGCCTTCCACTGATAAAACACAGATCAAGTTGAATTTGGGTAGTGTCACTTTATCCATTATTGAGTTATGCCCCTTTATAAATAGAAAAAATTGCAAAAATTTTTAGTTTCCATTCTGTAACTTAAGTTTGCCCCAACCAAACATTATGAAACCTATACACAATACTCATTACCACAAAACTAAGATCAAGTACAAATTTTTTGTTTCCATGTTCTAACTTTAGTTTGCCTCAACCAAATGTTATGAAACTTATACACAATGCTTATTACTACATAATACAGATTAAGTACTAAATTTGGTGGCGTCACTTTTACCATTCTTGAGTTATGTCCCTTTATAAACATAAAAATTGCTGAATGTTTTGTTTCCGTTCTCTAACTTTAGTTTGTCTCAACCAAATGTTATAAAACTTATACACAACCATTCTAGAGTTTACAAATAGAAAAATTGCTGAATTTTTAGTTTCTGTTCTTTTCTTAAGTTAGCCTCAACCAAATGTTAAGAGACTTACACACAATGCTTATTACCACAAAACTCAGATCAAGTTTCAAATTTTGGTAGCATCACTTTTACCGTTCTTCAGTTATGTCCCTTTATAACTATATGATATGCAAGCGGGGGCATCATCTGTGTCCATATGTGAACACAATCCACATTTTTTTTTAAATGCACTAAAATTTCGGTTTAGATAAAACACCAACAGAAGTATTTTACCAGTGTTGGAATTCACACAAATATTGAGATCATGAAACATATTATACATGTATAAACTTTTGGTCAGCTTGCCATGCCAGCTACCGTATAGCGGGTTATTTTCGCAGGTGTAAAATTTTGCGATTTAGGGGCAACAAAGTATACGAAAAATTTGGCGGTTTTTATTTTGGTGGATTCTTAAATCCCAATTAAATATTTTGGTGGATACTGAAATTGTTACAGTTAAAAAGTTGTAAAACTTGACAAACAAGTGTCAGTTGTTATGGTTAACTGACCTTTTTTTTACCTGAATGACGTCTTATTTATTGATTAGATTCTGATACAGTTAATCATTAGAATACTGCTAACTTAGATATTTGTTACAGGTATTCAAACGTCTTGTAAATTTTACGATTGATTAGTTACGAAATTTATCGGACCTTTGATGTACTTACTAATTAGGTTACAAAATTATCATGAGTGTTTGCAACTCTTATATAGTTTGACACTTATTAATAAGGGTAATTACCTGATAAGAGTACCTTTAATTGACACTTATTTATAAGGGTATACACACCTGGAAGTCATTTTATAAAATACATTTATGTACAATGCCCTTTGACATTTATCTTGTTAAAACTAACATATACCGTTATAGACCTGCCGACAGGAAAAAATACATCATTTACAAAATCCTTTACCCATGTTAACTTCGAAACTACCCAACTTATGCATAAATTTTTCGCGGAATTTATTTTCACGATTTTCGTTTATCCGCCAAAATAAGTGAAAATAAACACCCCGCGAAAATAACCCGCTATACGGTATCAATGATCACTTCCAATGATGGATTAAGTCTCAAAATGCACTATTAGAATTACTTACATATATATATAATTTGATTTAGGGAAGTGAGTGATGATTTAACAGAGAAGAATGTTTCTTTTGATGGAGATACCAGCATTACTGAAAGTTCTGTTGTTCCTGCTGTTTCATCTTTAGAAAATTTAGGTATTTTTATAAATGCATCTATATATCATGGCTTACACAAAAAAAAAAAATTGAACCAGCCAGACATTTTGCAATCTCCTTTTTAATCTCCTTAAACTTTGTAAATAAAGGCAATCAAAGTAATCATTAGAGAATCAAGGACAATGACTGACATGTAAGGATAACTTCATAGGTACTTTTGTTATGGTAGGAATTCTGTCAACTGACAGTGCATCATTTGAAGTGTGGAACATCAGCAGACTAACATTTGGGCTAAATGAAGTAACACACTGCCAAAAAACTTTTCTTTTGATAAATACATGTATGTTTTCTTATACCCCATGTTGACTTAAAATAATTGAAATCTGTGTCAAGGGGCAGGAGGTTGTGTGTTCAATCCCCAGTCGGGTCAAACCACAAACTAAAAAATGGAATTAAGGAGTATGAGCAAAGACTGCATGGTTAGCAGTTGGTCAAAATAATGTGCCTGTGTAGGGTGACATGTTGTCCTGTAACCTTGTGAACAACCATGATAAAAATCTGGCTAAATGTGTCAGTCTAGTTCAAAACAGGGTTTCTATTCATATCACATTAACATGTTCTTTTCATGATATGTGTGTAATATTTGCCACTGGACATAAAACAACAAATCATCGTTAGTGATAGTTAAGAAAACTTACTGATTTTCTTCTGTATGACAGGTCAAACCAGTTTGCTATTGTTTTTCTTTCTTCTTGTCAGGTAATACCTGTTTTCTGAACAGTGTTCTACAGATACTCAGATTTACACCAAGATTTCTGGACAGATTAGATGATTTATACCAAGAACTAGTACAAACAGAAAAGTTACAGAAACAAGATAAACAATTAAAGGTGAATATATTGTGTGTTGTGCAACTGACCAATGGAGACCCTCCTGGGTAGTCATGATGCTTAAATATGTGCAAATGAATGATGTAACATAAATTGCAAATGATCGGGAAAAATTCTATTAATGAGCCTAGCAAAAAGTCTTGCACTTAGATTACAGTCCACATGAAGTTTAAGGTTTCAGTTCAGTAAAGTGGTAATAATTAATCCTTTACAATAGAGATACAATTGTATATCAAATGTAGTAGGATTTTGTTATAGTCAAGACTAGTATCACAGGGCTCACACTACTTCAGAATCATAGGGAGAAGTGACTTCTCTTTTTGAAACTGATAGGGAGAAGTGGTGAGATTTGAAAGAGAAGTGCTCCTTCGCGCGCTGCGCTACAATGTTTTGATTTTACTATAGTATACAGGGTCATATATTAATAATGTTCTTTTTATATTGTTCAATTCATATCTGAGTATACAATTAAATTAACAGTTCAAATTCAAAGTTGTTTAAGTTTAGGTTCTTGTGAGAAACTACCAACTAAATATCTAGCACTAAAAAGATTTTTTTTTATGTCAAAAAGGTAAAGAAGTTATAAAATATGAATTACAATTCAATTAAAAACTTGTTTATCATGTTTATAAAATTCAGTGTTTCTCATCAAAAGATATATACAAAGTTAAGCTGGGCCATAATATATTGATATTAGTGGTTAAGCAACTTTAATCAATATTTTGAAACAATCCATATAAATTATATGGAATTATATACATTAATCAATTAGATAACACCAAAAGTCTCTTAATGCGCGTGGAATGCGTAATTTTTCCTTTTGGGTTCAATATTCTTCAGTCAGCTGTTCCATTCATGCATCGACCGTAGTGATTATTGTAAAAATACGGATTTCCGTCATAGCTGGTCCGGTTCCGATCCGTAGTTAGATAACGGTTAATGGCGGACGAAGAAAATTTACAAAAATAAACGATGTTTGATAAGCTATTTGGAAAGGAATATGACGTTTTTTTAATGCAATAAATGGATCAAACATTTACTGGAGGCAACTTTTATCACTTTCAAATGAAGTAACAAACTTATTTTGCTGCCAAAAGTTAGATTGATGTACGCTCTCTGAGTAACAAGTACCGGAAGTGCCTGCAGTGATAAAAAGGTGTCTTTTTATTAAATAACCTACAACACACGGTAAATTAATGCTTAAACCTCGTTTCTTAAGAAAGTGAATCGTTTATGTATGCATTTCTTTAATAATCAATAAAAAATTGATGTTTTATCAACTTGGTAAAAATTGAAAATGTCCGATGACGAAAGCGACTGAAAGCGAGTATCGTCCAACAACAGGGCGATTTTTTCGCTTTTGAGGGTCGGGCAAAGCGAAGTGACGGACGGGAAAGGGACTTCTTCGCCCTAGTCGCCTGGTAGCGTGAGCCCTGGTATCATAGCAAAATCTAAGATGAGATGATGACTTGGTGTTTTTATCGTTACAGGGAGATGAAGATGAAGACTATAAAACACCACAGACATGTGAACTTGTTAAATATTTGTACAAGGTTGGCTATATTTTACTTTAATTTTTATTATTTTCAGTATAAAATCTTGTTAGGAAATAAGAAAGAATAATAATATTGGAATTACATTTATGATAAAAATGAAATTTAGTAAAAAGAACTTACAAGTGATATATAACAAAATATATGTATTACAAGCACTTAAGTGTCACCTCTGAATAAAATCATATCTGCAAAATTGCATACATTTCATGGTAAAACCAAAACTCTAATATGACATTCTTCACACCCTTGGTAAAATATGAATATATTATAGTCAGCTGATCAGCAACATCATGATTTGTTTGGGCTGTTCCAATTACACTCCTAACTTGTTTGGTTTTTATATGAATGAGTTACCTGAGGTCTATGGGTGTAAATGAGGTCATTTAACGATTGACTCTTAACTGTGACATCAGAACATAAACATTCTATGGGAAAATGTATTAATGTGAAAGTCTTCAAAACACAAAAGCATGTGAGTGTATACACAAATATGTGTTGCGATATTGTAACGTTCCGGGTTTTCGAGTCAGTAGACCCGGCATTACTTATATGGGCCTCCGGTGAAGGGAGTAATAATAAAAATCATTTTTTGGAGGTTCATAAATTGTATTATTTTCTGCTTCATTATTTATCCAATATGCCATACATGTACAACAAACACAGTGGTTCATAAAATATATGAGATGAAATAAAATATATTTATTATATATAATAATTAATACAGCAAGGTGCATTACTTGCACCAAGTTTAATAAAACAATTCTTCTAGCGCTCGGTGCAAGAAAATCTACTTGGGACACTGCATTCTAATACTCTGCATACTCTGTGCATGGTTAGCGATTTACCCGAGGAAACAATATGTCAGCATTTTGATATGAAATTAAATATAATCACCAAGCACTCTTATTTGGTGCAGCAAACATAGTTTGAAATATACTGCTTACCGCATGCAGGATCTTGGAGAGAACCTCCCAGTAGAAACATGCGTTCCGTATTTTATTCGTTTACTGGTGACGTAATACACAAGTTATTCATAAACAAGAACAGGAACATTATATTTGGCACGTTACAAGGAAACTAAATGTTAACAAATACAAAATGAACAATTACATTCATAAATAAAGTCGATTTGTAGATTTAAGGAAGTCTTTTATGAATATTATGTCCAGGTAAGCTGTTTCTTCTGTAAATATGGATCAGAACACAACAACGGACATCAGCATGTATCAAGTGTGGAACGGAGACAACAGTGATAATATAAACACATCTATCTTATTTACACAAGTTAATATAACAATAATATCAAAATAAACTGTCAAACCACAGGGCATAACAATACACACATCCAACTTCCTTCATTGGGCAGTGCCATTTTAATGTAACAAAGATCAATTCCTTCTTTTAATACAGAAAAACAAACAAAAACTACATTTTCATAACTATTTAACTTCAACCTATCGGGTCAAGTATCTTAAACATGTCACTTATTCAGTTTTCTTCGTCTTTTAAGTCAATATGAAAAGTGTGCTCAATTATTGCAACAGCAAACATTTGCCTCAACCTAGAGCGCTTTGATCCAAAAGAATTGCTGCCTTTGAATTTATATTGATTTTACCATGAGTTGGTCCTTTATGCTGATATATTACCCTTCTATTGCTTGTGGTAAAATATTTATCATAAAGGGCCAGCCCATGGGAAAATCAATATAAATTCAAGCTCCCATGAATTATTTCTTAAAAATTGCAATAAATACAGTGACTAGCATTTTCATGTCTATTGCAATCTGCAGTAGACATGTTGCCATTAATGGCACCGATAACATTATTATAGCTACTGTAAAGCAACAATAATTATGTAGGGAAGATGGATTGCACCATTTCATAAGACTCCACTTTCAAGTATTATATTGCCATATACATTAAAAGAGTCTCAATAAAACAACCAACCAGCAAATTTAATATGCATCAGATCGTATTAAACATTATCACTATTTTGTGTATTTTTCCTTTGATCTTTTTTTGTGATAATTTTTAATATCATGATACTCGCTTGAGATAGAAAATGATCACTAGATAACAAGGGCGCATGTGCTGTTGTCAATATATAAACATCAACGATGTCATTGAAAAAAAGCGATAAACAGATTATCAGTGGTCTTCCAAACTCTAGGATGTTTGTCGTCTATATCTCATCTCAGGGCTGTTGTCCTTTCGATGAGATTGTAGCTGAGAAACACCCTCTCGTTTGGAAAACCATCCATAATCTATAAATACTGCACACAAGCAGATAAAAATATTCATGAATATTTTCATTTAAATGAGCTACATTAAAACAAACAACAAATGATAAATACAACAACATCCTGTGTACTGCAGATAACTATTGATAGGCTATAGTGTAATGTGGTATTGTTAAACTAGTTTGCTCAAACATTAGGTTACCTTGGACAATCATTTTACGTTAACATTTATACAGTTATTTAACTAGAAAATATTGTAGATTAATAAGTTTATATTGGGGGAATAAAAGTGTATGTTTTACTGTTTTCTCTGGAAAAGGAATATATTTGTATTGCAGTTGTACAGAACTATGGAACGACAAGAAGAAAAACACCACGACATTGCTACAGAAGATGTTATGTCCATGGCAATCAAACCAGAGAAAATTTTAGGTGCAATCAGGTCAGAATTTCATTAGTTTGTCTACTCAAATATACCAATTGTGCTAAAAAGTTAGATTTTTGTGCCATTTCTATTTTCAGTTTTATGATAAACAAAGTGAGGGACAAAGAAATACTGGGTGTCGGTCCCCTCTAGTAAGCTCTCTCTAATCTACATTTCTTGTCAGATTTTAATGAAATTTATATCTAAGGTTTATTTCAACAATGTCTCAGACAAAATTGAAAATCCGCACTAGTTTATCACTTTTGAAGTATCACTTTTGAAGGTAGTTATGCCCTTGAAAATGTAAATTCAATGGAAATTTGCACAGTAAGCTCATTCACACAGGTCTACATTTCTTCTAAGAATTTTATTATATCAAAGGTTTATATCAGTAATGTTTAGAAACAGTTCCAATCAATTGACAAACAATTACTTTTAAGGGATTTATGCTCTTTGGAAATGCTTATATGTGACCAGCCATTAGAATTTCAGGCTTATGGTGGTATCAGGGTCAAAATGAGTTTTTTACATTTTTATGAAGAATACATAGATTCAAAACACCCTGACAAGTTATTTTGCTAGACTCTGCAAAATACCAGAATTATGGTCATTTTTGTTACCTTAGATTTTATTAAAAATTTTCATTTTTTTTATTTTTCACATGTATTTTCATCTATTAAAGTTATCTTTGAAACTTGTCATATTGTTTTTTTTTTGTTTTTTTTTGACAAAACAACTAAAGAATTTTATCATTCGATTGCCATAGCAAGAATGTACCGGAATCTGCAATCTAAATAATAATGACTTAACCCTTTCGCCGATGAGTCCCGGTTTACCGGGATTCATGCTTCAGACAGCTGACGATGAGTCCCATTTTACCGGGATCGGAATACCTCTTTTATATTTCCCGCTCAAAACAGTGCAAACACGAGTTATCTTTCTTTGTTGAATACCCGGATGAAAGTGTAAACATGGCGCTTCTGTTTGTTGAAAACCGTGTCAAAATCAGAGGAAATTTACAGAATTTACAAGAATTTGAAATGAGGGAACATTTTTTTGGAAAGAATATGGAAGAATTGAAGCCAAACTAGTATACTTTTTATACGACCGCAAAAAAAATTTGCGGTCGTATATTGGTATGATGTTGGCGTTGTTGTCCGAAGACACATTGGTTTTCGCACTGTAACTTTAGTTTTAGTGAATGGATCTCTATGAAATTTTACCATAAGGTTCAATACCAGAAAAGGAAGGTTGGGATTGATTAATTTGAGGGGGGGGGGGTTTTTTCCTTTTTGTCGGGCCTTCGACTTAAGTCGAAAAAGCGAGACATAGCGATCCTACATTCCTTCGGCGGCGTAGTCGGCGGCGTCCACAAATATTCACTCTGTGGTTAAAGTTTTTGAAATTTTAATAACTTTCTTAAACTATCCTTGATTTCTACCAAACTTGGACAGAAGCTTGTTTATGATCATAAGATAGTATCCAGAAGTAAATTTTGTAAAAAAAAAAAATCCATTTTTTCCTTATTTTACTTTTAAATGGACTTAGATTTTCTGCCAGGAAACAACACATTCACTCTGTGGTTAAAGTTTTTAAAATTTTAATAACTTTCTTTTACTATTTTGGATTTGTACCAAACTTGGACAGACGCTTGTTTATGATCTAAAGCTAGTATCTAGAAGGAAATTTTGTAAAAAAATAAATCCATTTTTTCCGTATTTTACTTTTAATGGACTTAGATTTTCTGCCAGGAAACAACACATTCACTCTGTCGTTAAAGTTTTTAAAATTTTAATAACTTTCTTATACTATTTTGGATTTGTACCAAACTTGGACAGAAGCTTGTTTATGATCAAATGCTAGTATCTAGAAGGAAATTTTGTTTTCTTCCAGTTAACATTACATTCAGTCTGCAGTTAAAGTTTTTAAACATTTATTAGATTCATAAACTATCCTGGATTTTTACCAAACTTGGACAGAAGCTTCTTACAATCAAAAGATAGTATCAAGAGGAATATTTTTATTGATTTACTTCCTCATTTTTGTTGCGCCTGCGATTAACAGAAAAAGTAGGCGAGACACTGGGTTCCGCGGAACCCTTACGAATTTTTTTTTCTTTAAAATTTTCCGTTTTAAATTGGTTATTTCTAATTTATATATAAAAGCAAATAATAATGATATGGTTTGAATAGGTAAATTAAGATTTTTTAAGTTCTCAGACCACATTCATTCTGTGTCAGAAACCTATGCTGTGTCAAATATTTAATCACAATCCAAATTCAGTGCTGTATCAAGCTTGAATGTTGTGTCCATACTTGCCCCAACTGTTCAGGGTTCGACCTCTACGGTCGTATCAAGCTGCGCCCAGCGGAGCATTTTATTTGACATAAAATGTTGTTTTATGTACAAAACACTTGAAATGGACATAGTTCAGTGTAAGGAATTTGTACAGCCTCATAATTTTAAATTTTTCAAAATTTTGCCGTTTTGGGTTAAAAAATTACAATTTTGGGTCAAAGAGCAGAATTTTGAGAATTTCGCCTAAATAATGCCGAAATTTGAAAATTTGAACATTTTATGGAGAAAAAATTATCAAAACATGAACAAAACTGTGAACATGGTGTTAGTGAATGAAATAAAGACACAAATAACTACAGACAAGTTTTTATTGACATTTATTATGAAGATCTCTCACTTGAGTAATAGTAGCCAGGGAAGCCATCGTCTCAGAGTAGCTTCTGTCTGGGCAGCTATCGGTGAAAGGGTTAATGATAATGACTTAAACATTTTTGTTTCTCTTAAGGAAAACTACATTAGTACTAAGAAGTGAATACCAAGATATTTTCTATTACCTTGTGAACACTGAGATTTACCCCAAAAGCTTGGTGTTCATGCTGCAATCTGTATTAGTAATAAATTAGAGAAACATATAAACACTGCACTTTGAAATGCCTATAATGATCTAGAGTTTATTTTCAGGCCCTTTTGAAAATTAATTTTAATTAGATCAATGCAATGAAATATAAAAGATAAATTGTGTGAACGCGATTCTAAACGGTATTTTTACCTAAATTTTTATTTTACGCAAAAAATATACTTGTCTTGGGTTTATCTTAATAGAAGCTTCAAATTTCCTCAAGTCAAGAAAAAATGAAATTTTTTTTACCGCATGATATAATTGGACATTCAATAACATGTGTCCCGATTATGTTACGTGACTTAACATCGACGTTTTCCATTATGACATTTACTGCCATAAGCCTGGAAATGTCATGGTGAATTGCACTGAAAGTGTGTTTATGGGGTTTTCTCATTGTTGTAGGCCGTACGGTTGTCTATAATTGCTAATATCCACGTGATTTGAACTTGGGTGGATAGTTGTCTCATAAGCAATCATACCACATCTCCTTTTTTTTATATTAAGCTTCCATTTGTTTGATTTTTATAGGAACAAAAAACTAAAATTATTGGAGTTATTGCCCTTGGGCAGATAAAGTATGTGCAGCTGAGGCAGACATTGGAAAACTGTTTTGTAAATTCAATAGGTAGAAAATGTGGGGTAAATGATAAAGTTTTGTTGCAAATTGAAAGATTGTCATATATTATTATTGTGCAAACAACATTCAGTTTATGGACAATTTATTGTAATTTGAGATTTTAAAAAATAATGGGTTTGACTTTTCAGGGAGCTAAATCCAATGTTTGAAGGTAGTTTACAACACGATGCCCAGGAATTATTGAGGTGCATTCTATGTTATCTACAAGATGCAGAAAAGGAAATTTTTAAATTGAAGAATTCTATTCAACCAATGACATTACCAAATACCAACAAACTAATAAATCCCATCATGCAAAGTTTTTTATCAGCAGGAAAAGTAGAGATGTCAAAAAGGGATTGTTCCATTTCTCATGCTGAGAATGTCAGCCAAGATTTATTTCATAAACCTTTTATCTCCACTGAAGAAAATTGCAATAAAACAGATTTACTTGAACAGATGGATGAAAGTGAAAGTGCTATGACTGGAGGGAGTGTTGAAATTATCTCCCCTGAAAAGATGCCAGAATGTCAAATTGCAGACATACCTCTTGAAAACAAAGGATCTGATTGTATAAGTATTAAAAGGCAAAGAAAAAAGAATTTAATGATCAATGCAAATAGTGAGAATATTATGTGTAATGGGAAGGAAAATGGTGTATTATGCAGGTCTGAAATTTCAGGGGAAAATGACTCACAGAAAGATAATCAGCTATCTATAATGGCTATGTTGAAAGGAAGTGCTAGTTGTAAAAGATTGGGTATGAGGGGAGCAGTGTTGAAAAACAGAATGAATATTAACAATAACAACACCACTGAGGACAATCTAATATCAAATCAAGAAAGAGAACTGTTGTCCTGTATTGATGGGATGCATGGAATTCAAAATACAATGGAGATAGATGATGATTTAAGTTCTAAAACAAATATTTGTAATGGAGGAAAATTTAAAGAAAGTGCTTCACCTTCCAAATCTTCTTACATCAGAAAACCTTTAAGTAACGGATTATCAGATGCAAAAATTTCGTCATTATCTGAAGGGTCTGTTAATTTAAAAAATTCACCGCTGAAAAATGGACTTTTGAATTTAAAGAATTCACCTCTGAAAAGTGGGATGCCAGTTATTAAACTAGAAAAGTGTGATCATGTTTGTGATAGTCCTAAAAAATCTGTCAGTGCAGCATATGCAACACAAACATTGACTCCAACAAACTCACCAAAGAATAAAGTTCTCTCTGCTATGGCAAAACTAGATTTCTCTGATCAAAACAACACAAGTGCTAAAAAGAAAGATTTTGTAGAGAAATTATTCATGGGGACACTGATGTTAAGAACAAAATGTACAGAATGTGAATTTTCACGAGAAAAAATAGAGGAGTTCCATGATATTAGTGTTGCTGTTCGGAAGGAAAATATTGAGACGAGTGATGATGAAGATGATGCCAAAGAGGAAAACTGCCAATCAGGTACTACAACATTGACTTATAACATGTACAATTATATCAAATATTAGGTACATACATGTAGGTTGATTAATTGTAAAGCCACACAAAACTAATTCTCTGTTGTAATGTGATACTGACACCAATTACAGACATTTTGGCCTAATAAAATAATAATTGTGTTTCCACTGATATGCTAGGTACAGGTAGGTATAATTTTATTTTTTACAAGTTTAAACAGAGGGGGGATAGTATGACTTTAATAGTGCTTGTTCAAAAATGTCAAAAAATCTTTAGGATAGGCATATAAAATTAGGGTAGTTAAAGGGGCACTAGCTACGAGATATATAAAAAATCTAATATATGATTTTTTTTTGTTCAATCATTAATGAAAGTGAAATAGTGAAATAATTATTCGCTTTTAGACGCCAGTATGGTTCAATTTTTATCAAAATAAGCTAAGAAACATTGATGATGAATTATTCACTTGCAAGTGAATAATTCGACCTCATTGAATCCGTATTCATGTGAACTTCAATTTAACCCCTTAGCTTGAGATGGATAACACGTGAATTGTATGTGTAAAGTTATTTAAAGGAAAAGAATGTCAACATTGAAAGTGAAACAAAGGTAAATCATTTGATTGACTGATCTGATCCACAAAAAATCATTCTTATACAGGTAAAAACGATGATAAACATATATTTTTAATCTATAATATGAAATTAAACAGACCTAGAAAAATCCAATAGCACGAGTTCGCTTAATCTATTTATATCTTTATTTATGTTTACATCGCTTATATGGGCATCAGATGACTTTGGAGGTCAACTCGATAGTTAATTAGATGGCGTCTAGCACATGTCTAGACTAAAATACACACGAAGAAGCTATGTGTTATATCATGCCCATGTCCTGTTAAATGTTTATTTTAGACTTTTAATAGTTTGGATAAATGTTTTACATTGTTATAAATCAAGTATGAGAATTTGAGTCAAATCGGTGAACATGAATTTGACAGCTAGTGCCCCTTTAAGGTTAGCGGAAACATAATTTCTTTTATTTAGCTTTAAGCCCTTTCAAACTTTTAGTAAAAAGATACTTTTTTGTTATTTTTTGGGATGTTTTAGTCAGTTACTTGATTTACAAGTTCTAATCAGCTACAAATAACACAGGAATTTTTTTTATGTCAATGGACACACATCTAATATTATTTATGTCAATTGCTCGTTTTCTTTTTTTATTGCAGTGAAAATCAACATCCTTCTGCTCCCTTCCCCTGCTTATACATTTTGTTTAACATGTACATACAAGTGGCTATTATTTACTTGTGGTAAAATTATCTCCCTTAGTCACTAAGATGGTTGTACTTACATGTATATATATATAGACCTGTAAGAAAGTCATATTATCTTGTTTTCTTGAATTTCTCTTGACTGCATTGGTCTAATAGAAGGTTAAATCTTCTGTCTAAAAGAGATGTCTTTACTATTCATAAAAATATAGTTTTAGTTTCCTGGACATTAAAAATCTCTTTGTCTGCTATTTTCAAATATGGCCTATTTATTTGATTGGAAGCCTACAGAGAACATTTTTTGAAGGCCTTGCACAGTTTAAAAATGAACATCTGTGTGCAGTATATTTCTTTGTTGAGTTCATGAGATAAAAGGTTGAACTCTTATTGAAAAATAGTTAGTCATAGTTAGTATATATATAAGCCAGAAAGAGTGGGGATTATTCAAACCTCAAAAAAAGAAAATTTAAATCCAACAAATTTACTTATACTAGTAAATATTACTTAAAATTGAGAATGAAAACGGGGAATGTGTCAAAGAGACAACAACCCGACCAAAGAGCAGAAAACAGCCCAAGGCCACCAATGAGTCTTCAACACAGCGAAAAAATTCCGCTACCAGAGGCAGACTTCAGCTGGCCCCTAAACAAAAATGTGTACTAGTTCAGAGAAAATGGACATCACACTTAATTCTTAAACATATAAATGAACCAAAATTAAAATAAACATACAAGCCTAACAAAGGCCAGAGGTTCCTGACTTGGGACAGGCGCAAAAATGTGGCGGGGTTAAACATGTTTTGTGAGATCTCAACCTTCAACATTTGTTCAACATGTTCAAGTATATATAAAATACACTTGTATAAGTATTACACCTGACTGACATACAGAGGAAAATATAACATAATTATAACAGGAAAAAACTATTTGATGAATGTTTATAGACTTTGTCATAGATAGATATGTCAATAGCTGATATAGTGTAAGGGGCAGATTTATTTCAATGTAAGGCAATATTACCGGTACATAAACTCAAGAGTAACAACTTCTTAAGAAGTTGGATTAAAGTAAATTTGAAATCTGTTACATTACACTTTCAAACTAAAATACTAATATAAATTTCAGATGAGGATGAAGACGACAAAGATCCATCATTACCAAAGTTACTGGAGTCATTCAGTGAAGTAGAAAGATTACAGGGAGATAACAAGTATTTCTGTGACAAATGTCAACACCATGTAGAGGCTGAAAGATCATTGCATTATAATGTTTTACCTGACGTACTGTCAGTTCATCTAAAAAGATTTTCTACAGTATCAGGGTAGGTATAACAAAAAAAAAAATTACGTAATCAATTACATCATTTATTTTCGTTTTTATTGCATTTTACCTTTACTGCAAGCAATGCATGAAAACAGAAGTCAATTTCCAGTAAAATAATGACCAACAATCTTTCCAGTAAAATAATGACCAAGAATCTTTCCAGTAAAATAATGACCAAGAATCATGTTTTTGGAATCTTTTTAACAGCTAATGGATACTATCATGACTATTGATGATGATATGACTCAGTGTAAACAGGACACATCACACGGATGCACATATTTCTGATATGGTGCGTCCAGACAGAAAATCATCCTGAACCAAGAATCCAGAAATTTTTAAACACAATTGCTGTCATTTCGAGATGACATGAAAATTGGTGTCCTTTTTTCAAACTGTAGCAATACCGTTTCATCACATTTACTTCATGGGTTTTCTTACCGTTTTTCTAAAAACGTCCAAGATCGATTCGTTCTGTTTATCAAACAGCAGGGAATCATTATAGTTTAAATTTTATAACCTTTATAAGTGTTTGAAATTTATTGATAATAGTTTCACTAGTTTAATTTAGGGGTAATCATTTTGCATTTAATGAAGAAGTGTTTAATCTGATGAAGACAATTTCACGCATGCATATACCATTACAGAGTAAATAAAGCATATGTTTGACTTATAGAAATATTTCACACATGCATATACTATTACATAGTAAATGAAGCATATATTTGACTTATAGAAATATTTCACACATGCATATACTATTACATAGTAAATGAAGCATATGTTTGACTTATAGAAATATTTCACACATGCATATACTATTACATAGTTAATAAAGCATATGTTTGACTTATAGAAATATTTCACACATGCATATACTATTACATAGTAAATATACCTGCCTGTGTGACATTAAAGTTTGAATGGATTTATTTCAGGATATTTGGCTATATGTCTAAGATAAATGACCATGTGAGGATACCGCTGTCATTGCCTTGTTTACGACACAAATGTCCGAGACCATGCAGTAGATCTGATCATAGGTGGGTATACTTTTACATTTTCAGATCAGGTTAAAATGTTATTCAGATCAAGTTACAATGTTTGTCTTTGTTGTTAGGCAATTGATAAAATTGAGAATGTAAATGGGGAATGTGTCAAAGAGACAACAACCCGACCAAAGAGCAGAAAACAGCCCAAGGCCACCAATGGTTCTTCAACACAGCGAGAAAATCCCGCATCCGGAGGCGGGCTTCAGCTGGCCCCTAAATAAAAATGTGTACTAGTTCAGTGAAAATGGACGTCACACTAAACTCCAAAACATATAAAGAACTAAAATTAAAAAAACATACAAGACTAACAAATCCGATGTCAGAATAGGTAACAAAAGAAACTAAGCAAAATGAACCTTCTTAGATGATAATTTATATTATTATAATATCATATTATTCAAAAGCTGTGATGTCTGGTCATGATTTTCATGTCACAAGTTTCTATTATGTATTGACTGAATCTTACTTAAAATAGATGCTTATTGACCTGATATTACTAAACAATAGATTATGAATACCAGTTTTAAATAGCTAGTATTTGATTGAGGTTTATTAGAAAATTCAGTCAATCAGAATCATGCTTTCATTTGACTTTGGTTAGCTGCGTAAAAAAAATGGCACAAGACTCAAATTGAAGGCAAACAACATTTATTTGGATACAAGAAAGAGCACTTGAACAGTAAATGACAGAAAACCCTGAAATTTAAGAGTGTACACACGATTTTAATGATTTTATTATATGCCTTCCTGGTCACTGTTTGTGTACTATTTGAAATGAATAAAAATGTAGTATCAAAGAGGTATCCCATATTTAACATAACAGTAAAAGAGAAAAGAAACAGGTTTAAAACAAAGAATAAATTAAATGATCATTATTGAAAGGTTAGTCACAGCTTTTGATTAATATGATGTTATAATAAAACAAATACATAGCCTTGTCATCTCTGAGAATACATGATTTTATTTACCCATGATAGTTTATTGACCTCTTACTGCATCCTCAGTCAATATACTTTCATAGGGTCCATTAAAACACGTATTGGCCTCACCAAATGGTTTAGTTTTAAACAAAATTTGTTATTATCCCCTTGCTTTGGAGAGTTAGAGAAAGAGATGTTATGTTTTCTTCATTGATTTGTTTATTCTGTTTAAGTTTTTTATCAAAAGATCCAGTACAGCTGCAGAAATTACAAAATTGTATAGACTTAGTATAGTAACAAAGGTCCAATCAAATTCGGGTTAGCTTAATCTGATTGAATACAGATCCTGTGTCCCTGCTTCAGGAATCTGACCTCTGTTCTACTTTCTGTTCTGGTAATTACTACATCAGCTAATGAAATTTAAGCCTTTAAATTTTTGAAGATGTGTGTCATTACAACAAATCCAGTAGATCCTGAAAGGTCTTTAAAACAGAAAGTAGACATAAGTATTTTGTCAGATCCTTGTGAGCAAAGCATGGACATAGGATCTGTATTTTAATCTGTATAGTAATTACCATAAAGGTGACACATGTAAATGGGTAATCCATGCTTTCACTAAACTTTATTGATCATATGGACAATGATAAACTTTATATTTTTTCAAGTATTTTAAGTTCTACATGAGAATAATGTATAAGACAACAAGCTGTCATTTGTGACTAATCTATTTTTTAATATTCATTAATTTATAAGTGTTACCAGAAGTCCATTACTAGAGGAAGTGTGCAAGCTGTACTATATAGCTGGGTGATCACACTGTCCCCGTTATCAGTGGAAAGCACTATATGTGGTCCTCCAAAATCTCGTTTTTCAACTATGGAATCATGGGTAGAAATATTATCATCAAACAGATAGCTGTTAATTAGTCTCCTTGAGTGTTTGATTAATTATCAGTTTGTTGAAAATAAAGTGAGCAGACTTAGTGCACTGGTTTCTTATTGCCAGTTATTTAACTTCATTTTCAACATTTAGAAAATGATATAAAATTTTATAAAAGAATACATTGGTACCATTTTTCATCGTGCAAAGGCAAATGAGAACTATAAAATCATAAAATCTGCCGTGTCAGACTAAAAATGTATCAAGTATTTAAAAGATATAGTTGTTTTTATACGACCGCAAAAAAATTTTGTGGTCGTATATTGGTATGACGTTGGCGTCGTCGTCGTCGGCGTCGTCGTCCGAATACATATTGGTTTTCGCACTCTAACTTTAGTTTAAGTGAATGGATCTTTTTGAAATTTGACCATAAGGTTAAATACCACAAAAGGAAGGTTGGGATTGATTTTGGGGGTTATGGTACCAACAGTTAAGGAATTAGGGGCCAAAAAGGGGCCAAAAATGAGCATTTTCTAGTTTCCAGACAATAACTGTGGAACGGTGTATGGATCTCTCTGAAATTATACTACAAGTTTCCATACCACAAAGGGATGGTTAGGATTTGCTTTGGGGGGTTATGGCTCAAACCGTTTAGGAATTAGGGGCAAAAAAGGGGGAAAAACAAGGTTGTCCTGGTTAATGGACAAATACTTTAGTACAAAACATAATTTAAAGCAGTGTAAGGGAGATAAATCAAATACATCATTGAAATTATCTCCCTTACACTGCTTTTAAATTATGTATAAAGTAATGGTTAATGAACAATAAAGATAATCTAAAACAGTGTAAGGGAGATAATCCAAATACAACGTTTTGGTTACTTCCCTTACACTGCTTTAAAATTATGTTTAAAGAAATGCATATTTATAAAGGAAGACCAGTAAAAATATCTGCAAATGTTTTCATCTTTTTTTTTTACAAAAAAATCCATATGAAAGATTTGACACTATATTTTTATTAATTCTATTATAAAATAGATTAAGTTAGCACTATGGTAAATTTAAATGGGTAATTATGGTTGCCAACTCCATTGGAAATTTGAATTGAGATTATGACCATATCTTGAGGGAAAGAATTTTTTTGGGGGAAAAAGGGGGGGGGGATAAAAGAAATTGTGGGGGGCCAATTTTTTCTCATTTCAGATTTCAGAAATTAAAAAGAATTATTCTTCAAATATTATTTTTTTTTCAAATTTCAAATATTGAAAAATTTCAAGAAGTAATCTTTAATTGCACAGTATGGCGCATTAGATTTGTAAAATCTTTGATCACATTTATTTATTTGTTATGCCGAATCTAACAGTGTATTTAGATTTTTAATTTTGGGTCCAGTTTTCAAATTGGTCTACATTAATGTCCAAAGGGTCCAAAATTAAACTTTGTTTGATTTTAGCAAAAATTGAATATATGAGGTTCTTTGATATGCTGAATTAATCTAAACATGTATTTAGATTTTTGATTTTTGGCCCAGTTTTCAAGTTGGTCCAAATTGGGGTCCAAAATTAAACTTTGTTTGATTTCAACAAAAATTGAATATATGGGGTTCTTTGATATGCTGAATCTAACCATGTATTTAGATTTTTTATTTGTGGACCCTGTTATCTAATTGGTTCATATTGAGGTCAAAAGGGTCCAAAATTAAACTTTGTTTGATTTCATCTAAAATTGAATTATTGGGGTTCTTTGATATTCCAAATCTAACCGTGTATTTAGGTTTTTAATTTTGGGTCCTGTTTTTTTAAATTGGTCTACATTGAGGTCCAAAGGGTCCAAAATTAAACTTAGTTTGATTTTGACAAAAATTGAATTCTTGGGGTTCTTTGATTTGCTGAATCTAAACATGTGTTTAGATTTTTGATTATGGGCCCAGTTTTCAAGTTGGTCCAATTGGGGTCCAAAATTAAACTTTGTTTGAATTCAACAAAAATTGAATATATGAGGTTCTTTGATATGCTGAATCTAACCATGTATTTAGATTTTTTATTTGTAGGCCCCGCTATCAAATTGGTTCATATTGAGGTCAAAAGGGTCCAAAATTAAACTTTGTTTGATTTCATCGAAAATTGAATTATTGGGGTTCTTTGATATGCCAAATCTAACCGTATTTTTAATTTGGGTCCCGTTTTTTAAATTGGTCTTCATTGAGGTCCAAAGGGTCCAAAATTAAACTTAGTTTGATTTTAACAAAAATTGAATTCTTGGGGTTCTTTGATATGCTGAATCTAAACATGTGTTTAGATTTTTGATTATGGGCCCAGTTTTCAAGTTGGTCCAAGTTGGGGTCCAAAATTAAACTTTTTTTGATTTCAACAAAAATTGAATATATGGGGTTCTTTGATATGCTGAATCTAACCATGAATTTAGATTTTTTATTTGTGGGCCCCGCTATCAAATTGCTTCATATTGAGGTCAAAAGGGTCCAAAATTAAACTTTGTTTGATTTCATCAAAAATGGAATTATTGGGGTTCTTTGATATTCCAAATCTAACCGTGTATTTAGATTTTTAATTTTAAGTCCCTTTTTTAAATTGGTCTACATTAAGGTCCAAAGGGTCCAAAATTAAACTTAGTTTGATTTTAGAAAAAATTGAATTCTTGGGGTTCTTTGATATGCTGAATCTAAACATGTGTTTAGATTTTTGATTATGGGCCCAGTTTTCAAGTTGGTCCAAGTTGGGGTCCAAAATTAAACTTTGTTTGATTTTAACAAAAATTGAATATATGGGGTTCTTTGATATGCTGAATCTAACCATGTATTTTGATTTTGGACATTGGACCATAATAGGTAAATTAAAAAAATTCAAGTTCTTAGACCACATTCTTTCTGTGTCAGAAACCTATGCTGTGTCAAATATTTAATAACAATCCAAATTCAGAGCTGTATCAAGCTTGAATGTTGTGTCCATACTTGCCCCAACTGTTCAGGGTTCGACCTCTGCGGTCGTATCAAGCTGCGCCCCAGCGAAGCATTTTATTGTCAAAATATAGTCATAATTGCAACGTGTCAGTCCTTTTTTTGCCGTTTTATACTCACAAGACTGAAGACACCTGCATATTATGCGGATTTAAGTTTTGATTTATCGTTTGTTGCTAGCTTAACGTTCAGTGGCAAATATATCATGCATATTCCATCAATGAGTTGTCGCAAGTGTTATTTAACATGCAGAGAGTGTAACATTCATCCTGAATACGCGTGATACTGGATTTAAAGTCCCTCCTCCGACCTGACGCGGCTGCTACTAATTTATACATCCCCCACTTGTAAGAAAGGGTTTTACTGTTGGAACCGGACAATTCCAGGGATTACTTTATTTCTTTACCCAACTCAACCCTTGAGATTGATTTAGTATTTGAACAAATTAAATCAAATTGTCCTACAGCTAGGTTTTTGAAGTAAGACTTCGTCATATTTCAGTATGAACTATACTTACATAAAGAACATATATTTATTACTCGTTTGTTTACAAAGATAGTGAACGCAACTTTTCATACAATTTTAACCTATAAAATTTAAATGTCGAACGCACGTGTTGTGAACTGCATTTTTTACATGTATTTTAACGGAAAATGTAACAATATCTGACTCTAATGATAACCTTTGTTTGTACACACCATCACCCGAGGTAGTATTACCGTCAAGATCTCAGTTAAGCAGGATCGAAGATGTTCAAATTGAAGAAAGGGCATACAATTATTATCCCTTCTTTTTTTCAAAATTGAGGGTACAATTTGTTGATTTTGCTAAAAATGGTTGTATCTGCAGAATTTAAAAAAAAATCTTATTTCTTGAAATTTGTAATTTGTAACATATATTCTTAAAATGAATATAATAGAATGTTTATTCCTATTAAACTCAATCCTAATCCAGTGTTACTTGTACTGCATATGGATACACTATTTTCTGACCTAATTTTTACTTGCCAACTTTTTAATGGCAATTTTTTTCAAAATTTACTCTGAAACCAAACGTTTATTGTATTAAGAAGTGAGCTTTTTTTATTCCATCTGACAATTTTTCTACGGTTATAATTGTAGTTTTTAAATTGATAGATAATACAAACATTTTTAATATTAAAACCATTATAATGACTCATGACACTGATATAATATGGCATCTAGGATCTGCTATTCATTAACACGTCGCTGGTCAAACATTATTTTCAACTGTGTGCTAATTAAGTTATAGGGTGTTTTGCATAAATTATCTCTACCCAGAATGCATTGCCAAAAATTTGGCCATTGATTTTTGTTACTATTAATAGCAATCTCGCTCAAATCCTGTTTCAATCACAGTTCGAAGTATGGGGACAACGTAATCGCCTTACTATAAAGCGGGTTGCGCACTTCCTCTAGTAATGGACTTCTGGTGTTACTTAAATTATATTAATTATCGACTCATGATTTTCTTCGCAGGTACAGATTATATGGCTTAATAGCCCATGCAGGAGTGACATTGACCTCTGGACATTATCTGACTTATGTACGTGTATTTCATTCTGTACAAGAATCATCCGGATCTCAGGACTATTCCTCTCCATCCAGCTCCAAATCTCCAGCCTTAAATAGGAGCTCACTAACCTCATTCAACTCTCAATCTCAGAGAGCTTTGTCAGAGTCACCACGTGGAGACAATCTGTCAAAGTTTGTCAAGATTCCATCTCAGAAGTATGAGGATTGTTGGCTGCAATGTGATGATGAATCGGTGAAAGTATACTCTGAAGAAAAATTCTGCAGTATGTTGCAAGATGGATCTCTGTTAGGGACCCCATATGTTCTGTTTTATCACAAACAAAACAAAGTTTAGTTAGGAGATCCACAACATACATATTATACATAGACAACATTGTTTTGATAAATAGTAGCAGTATTTTTATCAAAACTTAATAAAAAAACATTGTAGTTGTAAATTTACTGTCTTAATAGATTTGTATTTATGATGTTTATGTCTTTAATATTTGCTAGTAGACCTAGTTCAATTGAATGAACTGAAATACTACAAAGTAACATACATCAAACTAAATTGAAGCCAAACATGTCTTATTATGCCATTCTGTCTAAGGATCACACATAAGGCCAAAAATGAAATTTAATTTGTTTGATGTTGCCTACCTACCCACTTTAAAAGAAGCCGACCTGAAAAATTTTATGACAAAAATCTTTTCAATTTTTTTTTTAAAGATTTGTTTCCTGCTCTAACTTTGTTTTCTTGTCTGATAGATGAAACTTATGTTAATGGCAAAAAACAAAAAAAAAATCCCTACCTACCTACCTAACCCTATAAGGCATGGGTAGGCAACATCGAACAAACAATTTTTATACCCCCGCCGTAGCAGAGGGGGCATTAAGTGTTACCCTTGTCTGTCCATCACGTCCGTCCCCAAAATTGGATTCTGTTCTCTAACTTTAGTTTGCCTCAACCAAATGTTATAAAACTTATATACAATGCTAATTACCACAAAACACAGATCAAGTTTGAAATTAGGTGGTGTCACTTTTACCGTTCATGAGTTATGCCCCTTTATAAACATAAAAATTGCTGAATTTTTTGTTTCTGTTCTCCAACTTTAGTTTGCCTCAAACAAATGTTATAAAACTTATACACAATGCTTATTACCACAAAACACAGATCAAGTGTGAAATTGGGTGGCATCACTTTTATCGTTCTTGACTTATCTCCATTTATTTAAGGGTGGCCTAAGGTATGGTAATTTTTCTGAACCAGTTCAAGACCATTGTCATACAAACATGATGTACTGTAACATCATTTCCTTTTTTGGGATAAAAATCTTTAGAATGTAAGAATAGAGTTTGAAACAACACATAAAATTATTAGACTTTCAACATAAAATGTAATCAAGAGAAGTAAAGCAAGCTAGACATTACATTATGTGCATTTTCTTTTATCTTATGATTAATTTTATGATAGATCTTAAATGGGTTTTAACTACGATTTAGACAAAAAATTGAAATATGATTTGTTTCTGTTGCAATCATTTATAAAAGCAGAAATGTGAAATAATATTTCACTAAAAGTAGTCAGTTTGGTTCAATTTCGTCAAAAGGAGCTGAAAATACATTGCTGATGAATTATTGACTTGAAAGTCTTATGTAATAATTTATCCTCATTTGGATCTATATTTATTGGAACTTTATTCGACCCTTACCCAGAAATGGGTAACACATGTTTTTATTTTTTAAAAAGAAAAGAATGTCAATAGTGAAAAGTGAAATAAGGGATCAAGTTGGAAAAACCATTTCATTGCCTGATTTGACTTTTCTTTCTTATACAGGTACACACAATGATTTACTTATTTTTTTAATCCATGACATGAAATCAAACAGACCTAGGAAAATTGTTATATACTATTGCACATGTTTATATTTATATTTATGTTGACATCAGGTTATAGACCATCAGCATTCTTCAAAGGTCATCTTGATGGTTAATTAGAAGTGTCTAGTGTAAAATACACACGAAATGCTGATACATTATAACAAGTCCATGCTTTGTTAATTGTTTATTATTTGACATTTTGTAATTTGGATGTATGTTTTTAAAAAGTATGTTATAATTCAAATATGAGAATTTGAGTCAGATTGGTAAAAATGAATTAGACAGCTGATGCTATATGTTAAGACAACTAATAAAATGCATTTTTTAAGAGGGTAGAGTGAACTGGATATCTCATTTTTACATTACTTATCTTTTTTTCATTTCATGGACTTAACATGAAAACATGCCTAGATTCTAGTTGAAACTTTGGAATGAGGACCAAATGTCCTTTGATGGTCCTCTTTCAACATGCCAAGGAATATGTTTAAAGAATAGTCATATAATTTTCTTCCAATATCATTACTTGCAGCAGTTATATAGATATGGTATTATACAAATAGAAATAACAATACGTGTCATAGGACACCAAACCCATCTGCACTATCATGTGTCCATGTTCAGTAAACTGAAATGGAGGTCAAAATCATAATGTGTACAAAGTTTCAAGTTGATGTAACCACAACATCATGGTAAAATACCTTAACCAAAAAACATTAACCCCAGAATGTCCTTATTTCACACTTTTACGTTTCTATGTTGAGTGAACCATGTAATTCACTTCAAACAATTTTGGTAAACAATTTTAAAATTTATCATCATAATGAACATGTATAACTAAGAAGTATCAAGTTGATCTGACCACAACTTCATGGTAAACTCCTGGTACCTATACCAAAAACTTTAACCTGATAAAGACTTCTGGACAAGCTGAAGGACGGACATCTAGGCAAGAAAACATAATGCCCTCCTGCTTCTGTAGGTAAGGCATGAAAATGTAAATTGGAAAAAAAAAACATTATTGGAATGTTGCTTTGGCGATTTCTTATAAAATTAAGATGGGATGACCATGCATGATTCAAAATGGTTACTATATGTTTATGGTTGGAACAAAAAAAAAATCACTGAAACAACTGAACCAAACTAGTTACTTTTAAATAGTTTTAGTCAGTATTATACAGTGGTAGCTTGCTATGTGGTATGGGTTTTGTTCATTGTTGAAGTTGTCTCATTGGCAATGATACCACCTCTTCTTATTTTTATGAAGATACTAGTTACAGACTCTCTGGAACCTCTGGTTTTGTTTAGATATAGATGTGTAATTTAAGGGTAATTTTTTATTAACTGTTTGTGTTTGTTGATGTTAAAAACATGTAGCTGTAGTTGTATACTGTATGGTGACTTCATATTTTTAAAACCCTTTAGTAATTAAGTTTCATTCATGATGATGAATCAATTTAACTAATACCTTGTTTGCAATCTGACCTGGGTTAAAAAGAAATTAGTGTCAAATGAAGACATAATTATTTGAAAAAATGTCAAGACTAAATGCTGGCCTTTGATCATTGATTGCATTGTTTTGTATTTCTTTAATGCAAACCACTTTTGAACAACTATGTAAATTCATATAAAGTGTTTGTTTTAATTACTTACACCTTGTATATAATGTAATCTGTTATAATGTATCATATTAGAATATGATGGGCATCAGTAGCAATAAATGTTACATTTGACAGTTATTTATTTGTGTGATTTCTTACAAAAATCAAATTTTGTTTTATTTCCTTGATTAATTATACCCCTGCTCTGAATAGAGAACTCATCTGTCCGTCCTTCTGTCTGTTGCTGTCTATCCCATAAAATTTTGGTCACATTTTTCTCAGAATGAAATTAGGTATTAGGCTTCATTTGGGCATGCTATACTGTGTGATGCATTTTCAGATTCATTGCTCATCCACTTCCTTATGGTCACCAATCCCACTAATTAGTCCCCTACCGACAAAGTTTGCACTCCGTCCATCTGTCTGTCTGTCTGTCTGTCTGTCTGTCTGTCCATCCGTCAGTCTAATCAGTTTTCCACACTTTTTTTCTTCGTGCTTGACGATATTGATTTGAAATTTGGTACTAGTATATACTTTTATCATGACAAGTTACAGATCAAGTTCGAATTATGTTCCAGTCTGATGATTTTGTGCAGAGTTATGGTCCTTGGACTTAGAAAATTCACTCAAATAATCAGTTGTCCACGCCTTTTTTTTTGGTCATGCTTGAAGATATTGATGTAATAATTGGTATATAGTTTTATCATGACAAGTTACAGATCAAGTTCGAATATTTTTCCATGCTGATGATTTTGTGCAGAGTAATGGTCCTTGGACTTAGAAAATTCTCTCAAATAATCAGTTTTCCACACTTATTTTCCTCATGCTTGAAGATATTGACTTGATATTTGTTATATAGTTTACACCGTGCAAAGTTATAAATCAAGTTAGCATTTTGTTCCAGTACATTGAATTCTTAATCGGTAGGGGACTATGTATTGCCATGCAATACTCTCAGAATGCTTGTTCATAATAAAGTAATATGAAAAGAAAGGTGTTGGTGTGAATTCCTGATACGATTTGGAGATACTAAAGGTGTAATACCACCAAATCATGGTACGTCACATCCGGATGCATACGAAAAAGGGTCAAAAAAAATATTCCCTTGAATTTGACAGTTGTAGGAAATTAATCCTACATTTCATTGCAGTAAAAAAATTATGAGTTTGGGTGTTTCAAAGTACCATTGTTTTTGTATTTGGTGTTTCTATAAAATATTTTGGAAACTTGAGGTTACATGGTTACTAAAGCTTGTACACAGGAAAAAAAGGGGTGAAAAATTGATTGGTTAACTTCCAGTGATGGTTATTATCTTATATGCAATGAAATGTTATGTGAAATTTTGTCTGTAGTACTGGACAGGATAAAACTTTACTCATATTATTTCTTTGTTTGAAACAATGATAAATTCTGCACAATTTTTTGAAAAGTGCAAATTTAACAAAGACTAATAGGGAAAAACGATGGTGGTATTACACCTAAATCTTGAACACTTTGCATGATAAGAAATCTTTCTACGTTATTGGTTTTGCATTTTTCAAAACTGTACGAATGTCAATCGACCCTTTAAATAGTTTTCACACGTTATTATAATTTTCTTGTATGTTGCTTAGATTTTTGGTTTGAATGTGTCAGGGTCCATTATCATGCAGATCTGTACAAGAGCTGTACAAACATCTCGTTCTTATTGTCTAACCAACAATTTTGGTCAATTATTTGTACATTTCATGATTATTGTGAACAGTTTTAAGACATAAATCAATTCTAGACAGCAGCATAACTATAGTCATTATAATTATACCCCCGCTTTAAAAAAGTGGGGGTATACTGTTTTACAGTCTGTCTGTCCGTCTGTCCGTCCATCCTATGAATATTTTTCATCACATTTTTCTCAGGAACTACTTCATAAGGATTTCTGAAATTTGGTTTCAGGGTTTATATAAGTCAGCTATACAGTGTGATGCATTTTCAGATTCATCACTCAACAACTTCCTGTTTACCAAACACTCACATATTTTTACACTACTAAAATTATCCAGTTGCAGCGGGGGTATCATCAGTAAGCAGTAGCTGGCAGTTTCACTTGTTATCACTCAATTGCTGCAAAATCACAAGAATTTGATTTAGAGGTACCAATGATGATTTGGGGGTACTGGATATGATTATTTGGGATGACCAGGAAAACTCTAGCAACAACAATGTTTTGTTTGATTATATTATCAATCCATTTTATCTTTACTGATGGAGGAATAATTTCAATATTCTGGAATAGGTCTAGAAGAGAGGTGGAAGATACCAAAGGGGTAGTCATACTCATAAGTCAAAAGAGAACTCTCAATGCCATGGCATCAAATGAAATATGACAAAAGCACAACATAGAAAACAAAAGATTGAGCAACATGAACATCACCACAAACGTCTAGCTGATACAAGTGCTTTAGTCTTCATACATTTTTTTTTTATCATGGAGATAAATGCAATGTCATTCATTAAAGTTTTTACTTTGCACAAAGAAGATTTCATGATTAAAATGAATATCATCATAAAACATTGTAATTCTTCAGTAGTAGGTGCTTTGGTACTGACATGATTTATAACATAGTTTTCTATAATTTCCTGAGAATACATTAAGAAATTATTTAAAAAAAAATTAGGTTCCAACTTCCCAGGACAAATTTTACCTTGGCTGAAATTCTATAATCTTTGTATGTCCATTTTGGTCTTACAGCTACATATTTATACATCCCTGGATTTAAAATGTTAAGGTTTGAGCATTCCAAATGAAGGTAAATTCAGAAAGCACTTTGGACACACAAAATTGATAATTTGCTATCACTCAGTAGGTCAAACAGTATGTGAAAAAGGGAATCAAAATTAACAACCAGTATGTCAAAAGGGGGATAAAAAAACCAACCAGTATATCAAAAGGGGGATAAAAAAAACCAACCAGTATATCAAAAGGGAAATGAAAAATTAACAAACAGTATGTGAAAGGGAAATAAAAATAAACAAACAGTATGTCAAAAGGGAAATAAAGATTAACAACCAGTATGTCAAAAATTTGTAAGGGTTCCACAGAACCCAGTGTCTCGCCTACTTTTGCTGTTGAAATGTATGAAAAAAGTTATGCTTGTAAAAAATGAATACAGTATGCAATCAAATCTATAGATTTATAAAAGAGTTGAAACATAAATTTATTGAATGAACAAATGATAAAGAAGATAATTTTACATTGCTTGATGATTTATTCCTTATTTCAGACAATGACGGAATGTAGGATCGCTACGTCTCGCTTTTTGCAACAAAAGTCGCAGGCTCAACAAAAATGGGGAAAAAATTATTAAAAATTTTCCTCTAGATACTATCTTTTGATTGTAAGAAACTTCTGTCCAAGTTTGGTAAAAATCCAGGATGGTTTATTAATCTAATAAATGTTTTAAAAACTTTTAACTGCAGACTGTATGTAATGTTAACTGGAAGAAAAACTAAGTCCATTTATGAGTAAAATACAGATAAACAGGATTTTTTTTTTTACAAAATTTACTTCTGGATACTATCTTATGATCATAAAAAAGCTTCTGTCCAAGTTTGGTAGAAATCCAGGATAGTTTAAGAAAGTTATTAAAATTTCAAAAACTTTAACCACAGAGTGAATATTTTTGGACACAGACGATGAAATGTCGGATCGCTATGTCTCGCCTGTCTCGACAAAAGTCGCAGGCTCATCAAAAAGGAAAATAAAAATGAACAACCGGTATGTTAAGAGGGGAGTAAAAATAAACAACCGGTATGTTAAGAGAGGAGTAAAAATAAACAACCAGTAGGTGAAAAGGTAATAAAAATAAACAACCAGTAGGTGAAAAGGGGAGTAAAAATAAACAACCAGTATTTGAAAAGGGGAATAAAAATAAACAACCAGTAGTTGAAGAGAAACAAAGAATAAACTTATGTCAAAGGGACATGAAAAATAAACTATGTCAAAGGAGAACACACATGAAATCTAACACACAAATCAGAGATATGAAAGTAAAGTTTGCATATTGTAAGTCTCTCTTGTATAAAATTCTATCAGCAGTGGTCTACAAAATTTGTTTAGGCCAGCATTATTGTTTTGAATGTTTAATTTGATTAAGGAAGTGTTTAAAAACATCCCTTTTAAAAATGTGTATTTACTGTATGAATAATTTGTCAGTAGATTTATTAAAACTCTAATTCTGACTAACATTGTTTTGGTAATAAAAGGATGTTGATAGAAGTATTTAGTGTTTACCTGGTAAAACATGTTTTGGTTAACCAATGGGGAGATATGTTGTAAGATTTGTCACATGTTTAGACCATTGTTTATCATTATTCATTTGATGTGATTGTATTACAATATCGCGTGTGATCCTTTACAAAATATACAAGTGGCTGTTTGATATATTGTTGTTTATTAATAAATATAGTCCATGTTAAAAAAAGCAAAAACAAAAAAAGTGAAAAAAACCCAACATAGTCCATAAAGAAATATGATAAAAGAAAGATTATAGAAATTCATCTAAGGTCAAATTTATCTGAGGAAGTCGGAACCTTAGTTTTTTTTAATAATTTCTTTATATATTCACAGGGAATTTTATTTGTATTATAGTGTAATAATTCAATTGATTGTCAAATGATTTTGCTTGTAAGCATTTTGGGAAGAAGACATATCCAATTGGCCTTATTGACACACTCAGCCTTCATTTGAACTGTTTTTATACGACCTCAAAATTGTTGCCTTTGTATAATGTTATGACGTCAATGTTTTTGCTTGAAGACATTTGGTTTCCAGACATTAACTTGTGTATTAGTGTATGGATCTCTATGAAATTATACCACAAGGTTCCATACCACAAAAGAAAGGTTGGGTTTGATTTTGGGGGTAATTGTCCTTACTGTTAAGGAATTAGGGGCCAAAAAGGGCCCAAAAACAAGCATTATTCTTGTTTCTGGGCAATAACTTGTGTATTAGTGTATGGATCTCAACGAAATTGTACCAAAAGGTTGCATACCAAGATTTCTACCAAACTTGGACAGAAGCTTGTTTATGATCATAAGATAGTATCCAGAAGTAAACTTTTTAAAAATAAAAAATCCTGTTTATCCGTATTTTA